AAAAAAAAAAAAAAAAAAAAAAGACAGAGTTGTCGTATACGTTAAACATCTACACTTGTTATACTATCATCGAGAGCGAGACACGTAGTATAACTGAAAGGTCGAACGAGCCCGCCGAAGGCGGGCGAAATTCGGCCACAATTATACGAAGGATCTCGCTCGAAGATGATCCCTTTACCCATCCCACTGCTGTATGTGTTTCCCGGATCATCTAGGAAAGTAGAAACGACAACTCTTTGCTCTAAATTATATGATCGTAGATGGCGTAGAGAAGCGAGGGCCCTACAGAGAGGTCGCTAGGAGAGCCATCTCTTTTCTACACGCTGAACGTTGTGAAGTACCGAGAGAACAGAGACAACTACACTTGTTATACTATCATCTTCGAGCGAGACCCTTCGTATAATTGTGGCCGAACTTCGCCCGCCTTCGGCGGGCTCGTTCGACCTTTCAATTACTGGATTGGCCGTCACAGTCACCGGATGCAAATCCTATCGAAAACGTTTGGTCCTTAATGAAATTTAAACTTCGTGGAAAGAAAATTTGATCGATCAAGGAATTAATACGACAAATTCGATTGATATGGAGATCTTTATTTCAAGAATATGCTATAAAATTAGTTGAAGTAGTAAATTAGTAGTATGTCTCGAAGATGCCAGGCAATTATTAAGGCGACCGAACAAGTTATTAATAATAAAACATTACAGTTCTAATCAAGTACTATGTATATATTTTATTCCAAATCATTTCAATAAATTATTTATCAAGTTTTGTCGTTATACGCTCTTATCAAACAGAGTGTACATCTATGGTCCCCTCCCAGCATAAGATTAGGAGCCACGAGATTATTAATTATTATATAATATTTAATTTAAAAAGTTTCTTTATTAATAAAAACATGAAAGGTAACATGTTTTACACTTATATTGTCCTACAAACATAATATTGCAACTTTTGTAGTTCATACATGATTTGAGCTACATTTGTAGCTCAAACAATAAATGCAATAACTATTTATTTTTATTTTTTAGTCATCAACAATTTATCTAAATGTTTAAATGAGACTATAAGATCTCAAACGATGTAGAAAGAAAAAAGAAAAGTTCTCTAGGACGATTTTTGTGGAAAATACGCTTTAAAAACTATATTGATAACGCAGACAGCTTAATATAAAGGTATTCCAATGTTTAACGATCCGGGAGCATGGGTTTTCGTTATCCGATCGAGCAAAAGTTTGGCAGGGATTTCTTTTTTGTCAAATGGAAACTTTTTGGAGGGCGCCGTGGAAAAAATTCGAAAAAAAATTTTGACCAAGAATTAATAAGAACCACCCTAATATACACACGTATTTTATCTTCTTTTTATAATAGACAAAATACTATCAAAGCTACGCGAAATATATACACATGTTATATCGCAAGATGGCGAATTAAACGGTCCAATTTATAACAGAGATTAACAGATTTAAAAATTTACTTTCTTGAATAAAATTTTAAACGTAAAATTTTACTGAATGTAATGTAGATTATAGAGTATAAAAATCGCGCGATACGAGAAAATATTAAAAAGAAATAATAACTTTTAGATGCTGTCCGGGTATAGGAAAGATGTACATATGTATGAAGGGAAAGAAAGGAAAATCAGCAGAAGAGCGTTTCAAAGAGCACTTCGATTGCGTTGTTAGTAACATAAGTGGCACATACATTTAATAGAACATACATTAATAGAAAGCAATCGTAATCCTTGCTCCGCAATTTATTTCCAGTCTCTGTTTTAAGGTTTACGATAGATTAAAAAAAGAGCAGCCTGACTTTATTACTAAAGTAATAATGATAGAAGCCGACTTCAGCGAAGCAAATCTAGGCTTGTCGTCGGAAAACCGAAAACATCTCTTAGACACAAACATAATCTTCCATTTAGCGGCGTCCGTGCGATTTAATGATACGATTCGAAATGCGGTGCATGTTAATGTGAGAGGAAACAAAGAAATTCTCCTCTTCGCAAGAGAGATGCCGAATTTAGAGGTGCTGTTTCAGTCATATATTTCATTCTCATAGACGCATAATTAAACTCACATTGATCTTTTGATTGTTTTTTATTTAGGCATTTGTTTATACATCAACCGCATTTTCTCAGTGCGTGAACAACTTTATCGATGAGAAATATTATTCTCCGCCTTTAGAGACAGATAAGATACTGACGTTACTCAACGTTCTGGACGATGAGATGTTGAACAAAATAACGCCAACGTAAGTGCTCTTTCGAGAAGTTCAAACGGCACATTCTTCGACCATTGTTTATTCGATATCATAGGTGCGCGAAAAGAATTCTCATGAAATATTTATTCTTTTTGCATCGGACGAGCGCAGACTAGTAGGCGAATGGCCGAATATTTACGTGTACACCAAGGCGATTGCCGAGGATACAGTGCGACAATACAGCGTCGGGTTATCAGCTTGCATCATACGTCCTTCGATTGTAACATCAACGGCGAAAGAACCAATACCTGGATGGATCAACAACATATATGGTGCAGTAGGCGTAATTGTAGGCAGTTCTATGGGTTTGCTACGTACTTTACATTGCATACCCGAAAATACAGCGGAAATTATGCCCGCTGATTACGTGATAGCGAACATTATCGTTGCAGGTTGGG